AATATGTATAATATATTTATAGTACTATATTATATTATAATATATAATATATACAGTATATTATTATAGTATTATATTATATTATAATATACGATTGTGTATACGATTTTGATATTTAATATACGAGTTCCAGAATCGTATTATTTTCAATCGCATTATAATTATCCATTTTTGCACAATCTGAGCGTCAATTAGGGAGAATTTACTGTAAATATCTCTTGAAGAAAGCATTTACGAGCATACCTTATATACTTTTATATACTTACATACTTAAGTATATTTTATAATCATACTATATTTTTTTGTTTTGCGAACATAAATTCATATCTAAAGCTTGGCGATCTATAACCCGGGACACCGTGTTATAAATTTATATATATTTTTTATATATATTTTCCAGCTGGTAGATTTGAACATGGCGGTGGAGAGTTTGGAGAAGGAGCGAGATTTCTATTTCAGCAAATTGCGCGATATCGAGGTAAAGTGCCAAGAGACTGATAATGAAGACTCTCCTGCTATAGTACAGAAGATCTTGGACGTTCTTTACGCCACGGAGGTAATCTTTCGACTGTATTTTTTGCTGGTTGAAAGCACGTATTCTACTGTCGCTATGCGTAACACGAAATAAATTAAATTGTTTTCTTTTCTTCTTTTTTTTTTTGGTTTTTTGCAGGAAGGATTCGAGCCACCCGATGAGATACAAGATGGACACGCGCCTAACGACGAGGAAGAATATTAATTTTACATTTCTATCTCTCCGAGCAACGGAAACATTTGTGTTTCACGTTGCACGAACAAAAATGAAACAGAACATAATTGCACGAACATAATTCTATCATTCTGTCGGGATAATTACAACCAGGCACGAGAAGATAAACTGATAAGATTCGTATCATATTCGTCGATAAAACACCTTTTGTAACTTTAATAACGCGAATTAAGACGCAAATTGCTCCGAATAACTGCACGAAGTAACTTCATCGATTATGCAATAATAGCTCGCAAGTGTAAGAAATTGAAACACACAGATAGACTATGTCGTTAACTTTGATATAATGATTGAAAAAAAATATGAATATACAATAACGAACTGTGACAATATGTAAATCGCTAACTCTGTTGTCCTCTTAATAGTTGTGCGTGCCCAAAAATACAAATAAATTGAGTGCATTGTTCTCGACATGTGTGTATATTTTTTTCTTCCCCCCCCCCTCTCTCTCTCTAATTCTCTCTCTAATTCTCTCTCTCTCTCTCTCTCTCTCTCTCTCTAATTCTGTCTCTAATTCTCTCTCTCTCTCTCTCTCTCTCTCTCTCTCTCTCTCTTACATATGATAATATAGGATCAATTTTTGAACAAATATTTGAGAGTCTTATAATAATCGATATCTTATTATAATAATTGAATCTGGAGTTCTTCAATTTTTCCATTATCCCCACGGTTATCGACTGAGCCCAATTTTACTGGCAGGCGATATGCTGGTACTTTATCAACTAGATGGCGTTAAAAAGTAAAAGGATATAGATTATAACTTATAGAACGGCTTTTATGTTCACACATAAATGTAGGTACTTTCTGTCCAGAAAATAGAGACCTCGCGATTTCCAAGATATTAAAAAAAAAGAATCTAATCAGACCAGAACTGATAATCAATTTTTTGACACCCTATACATAGAGATATCTGTTGCCTGTGCGTGGAACCAGGTTCTGATCCATGCTGAAACGTGGAACCAGGTTCTGATCCATGCTGAAACGTGAAACCAGGTTCTGATCCATGCTAAAACGTGGGTCAAAAGCTTCTCAGTTTTGGTTCCACGTTCCCGAGATGGCAGCACCATATCGATTCACCCTTAAAACCAAACACGGACAATTTCGTGAATTTCGTCAATATTGAAATGTCCTCATTTCAGGGCTAATATCTGAAGAAATTCCTCGTCCTGAAAAATCGAGAAAATTATTCGATCGATGTATCGTTCGAGGAAGCTTCCGCTTTCATTAAGCGGGCCATTTTCATTAAGAGTTCGAATCGCAATCAGAGAGAGAGCAGAGGTGTCGTCATTCTGAAGCATTAATTCGCGAGTCCGAGCGACGCGATCACGAAGAAACCACGGAGATACCGCGCGGGCAAAGGTTGCCCGCCGAGAAGGTTCCTCTTCTCCGTCAGCCGATCTTTTCAGCGACGTTCGGCACACGTTCTCCGTTCTTCCAAGTTCACCGGTCTCTCCTCGAGCAACTTTTGACTGCTCTTTAGCAGCATCCTTCGCGAATCTCGAGGACGCGAGCCACCGCAAAGTCAGCACCTCGGCGGAAACCCCGTCGCAATTATACAAGCTGTCCCAAAAATGTCTCGCAATCCGAAAGTGGCGGGGTCCTCGAGTCATTCGAAGCAACTTTTTCCTTTACAAAAATGTTCTCCGAGGCACCGTTAACGAGTTATCAACGAAAAAGCAGTGACCAATGAGAATCGAGTCTGTCTCTTATACACATCTAGATGTGTATAAGAGACAGACTCGATTCTCATTGGTCACTGCTTTTTCGTTGATAACTCGTTAACGGTGCCTCGGAGAACATTTTCGTAAAGGAAGAAATTGCTTCAAATGATCCGAGGAACCCGCCATTTCCGAGACATTCTTGGGACACCCTGTATATTATAATCGGCAGCAACGCGATCGTCAACTTCGTCGCTGAGCCAGGTGTGCATTCGGCGAGCAAACGGAGCAGATCCGCCGAGAATATTCTTCTTCTCGCGATTTTCGATCGCTTCGCGATCGCGACGCGACGAGTCAGGATGCTGACACTAGCATCGCGTATTTTCCGGCCGATTATATAACGCGTCGGCTCCGCGATCTCGATCTTGCGGTCTTCGCCGTGATACCGCACGCGCCGGTTACTAGTTAGTTATTCGTCGATCGTGTCCGGGTGATCGTACGGCTTCGCGAGACGCGTCTTCCATGGGGTCTTGATCATGTTAGCCCTTGCCGCACTGGTATCTAACAGCGATAAGTCTCGCCGCGTGTCGGTATTATGGGCTGCCCGGACTTTTTTCCGCTTCGTTTTCCAACGCGGAGCGCACCGTTCTCTGTCGTAGTCGATTCGTCGTCGCGCTTGTCTCGCGGGGCTGTTTTCGAGACGCGCTCGAAAAGTTAAAGTTTATTTGAACGAGTGTTTTGCTACGGTCGCAGACGGATTGTGCAACGAAGACTGAATGAAGATGCAACTTTCGTGGTCGCCGCGGACGCACTGAGAGGATTTTTGAAGCGAGATTGAAAATTGGCTCGCGACGAATTGGAGGGAAACTGTTGTTTGTTCTCTGTCTTGGCGCGACTGGTAGCTTGAAAATAATGTGACAGCGTTATTCTTGTAGTCTTTTGATCTTTTTTAATGTTTCGTACTGCATTTAGAATTTTTTGGAAAGTTTATTCCGGAAGAGAGGCGATTTAACTGAGGAAATAATTATAATTTAGGATTTTAAGCGACGCGTTTTAAGCCCATTTTAAGCACTTTATTGAAATGTTCGTACGTTTGTTCGTACGTTTACGAAGGATTTCGTGGTTACTTTTGCTAGCGAGCCAATTTGCATAGACGATACGGCCACGTCGATAGACGGAATCATATTACACAAGAAAATACAGTCTTTTCAACACTTTTCGTTAAGCACATTAAATAAAATAAGACGCTGGAATCGAGGATAACTTCAATAATGCTTCCGAATACCACTTCGATAGACGCAATCATGTTGCTCCGCGCAAAGCAGTTTGCGCGTTAACTGTAAATCACGGAAAATCGTAACTCCATTGTTCGCGAAACGAGTTCGGATAATCCCGGCGGATCGGTCGATAAAAGGCCGCTCTCGAGACAATTATCAGCTTCCAAGCGACTCCCAAAAGTTCCATATTTCTTCGGTGTTTCGTCGTTTCGCGTCTAAACGTAACGCGCGTGCTTTAAACTCGAACGGTTCGTTCGAAAGATTTTTTGAAACGAACTATAGTTCGAGAGACGATCGAGCGCGTTGCTTCGTGCGGGACACCCTGTACATGGAATAACGAAGATCGAATCTGGTGTTTGTGTCGGTTTACATCGGAGAATTTCGCCTCGCCGTTCACTGTTCCAAAAGGTTGCCCTTGTCGATCTAAACAACAGAAAAACCGGCGCGTATCTTCCTCGGGCGCAGTTCGTCGGCAGCTATCTTGCAGGAGTCAACGTCGTCCGGCGAGTCTCGATTTGCTGGGATGTCTGTAAGTGCGACACGTCGAAACCCATTTTATTTCTGCTCGATCCGTCGAATCGAGAATAGAACCGGACTCGCGATTAGCCGAGTCGCCGGCGGTTATCCGCGCGTTAATCGCGAAAGTTTCGCCCGAAAGAAGCGTTCCGGAATGAATTTTTTCCCTCGCGGAGAACGATCGGCCGCGTGTCTCCTCGAGCTTCGTCCAATCGCACCTCGTCAATGGGCCAGCGAATATCGTCGTTTCCATAATGACGCGCGAAGAAACGATTTTTAATTCGCGTTACGTGTCCGCGCGCGCGCGGCCGTTCGTTGTGTTTCTGTGCCGCGGCGGATAACACCGGGTCACGTCTTCCCGATAGCGAAATTGTTGTCACTGTTGTTCCCGTGGTTCGTTCGTTAACTCGTTCAGTCGGTCGGCCGGTCGACGGAGACACGCTTTCGCCGGAGCTGTTTGCCGAGAATCCTCCTCGGTGAATAAATACGCGCGGCCGATACGCGGAACAATCGCTTTTTTCGGGAAGAGAGAATCTGCCGCGTTTCATTACACCGTAGAGACATACACGAAGAACATTTCATTGAACCGATAAGAGATTGAAGAACGATGCCAAAGAAAAGGTCAGCCAGAAACGATGCGTTATCTTTTGTCATTGTCGGCGTTAAAAGATGAAATGTAATCGGCGCTAATAGACGAGAGATTTCCTTCGTTTATTCCGTTTAAACGTACATATTGTTTCTGCGCGGACGATTTAGTTGTTCTAATGTTCGAAACTAATGCTCGAAACGCGTTTAAAAACGAAATTACCGTGCCGACAGCGCAGCTATTTTCGTATCGATCGCGCTGCGCATCGATCGCACGTAAATACCGTTTGCGCTTTCCTTTCTAGAGTGACTTAGGAATGGAGCTCGATGGATCTTCGTCCGGTGTAAGTAGAGTGTCTCAGCCACCTTAAAAACACGCGAACACACAGACACAGTGACAAGCAAACGTGTGTACGCGCGCTGCTCGTCTCGTAAAAATGGAGATAATGCTAGCCGATTCTTTTAGCTGATCGATCGGGATCGAGCGACTGTAATTACGAAGTGAACGCGGCTGATAATATGCAACAGCTGCAATGTCGCTGGACCGCGGATTTTACGCATTTGTGGGAAAAACGAGCATTTATGGCAAAAATGAGCAGTTTGAAACGGCGTCGAGTTTTGAAAGAAACTGTGAACGTGTGGCAATGAATATGCAATCTGAACGTATATGCAAGTCGTTAAAGGAAGAACAAAAAAAGCTTCTGTCTGGCTGCTGTGTCTTGTAATTGATGAAGACAAGTTTTATTTCGCATCGGCTGTCTACTTGTCATCTACTTTGTCATCTATTTGTTTAGAGAAATGGCAAAAAAATGGACTGCCAATAAGCTCCGCGAAGCCTTTATGTTGATGAGGGACCGACAGTCTCAGCGCAGTGCACACGTTTTTGCTTCTCGCCGTATTATACGTTATTATTAATATTATTATTAATATTATATTTTTAATATTATACTCTATATTATATTTTTAATATTATACTCTATATTATATGATATATTTAATATTATATAATATTATATTATTAATATTATTATTACGTTATTATTTTTATTTCGACTCGGTTGCGACGAAAATTATTATTATTAGTAATATTGTTATTAGGCAATTTCCAAGGCGGCCGGAGCTATAAAAGGATGGGTGGAGTCGATGTTCTTGGCGGTGTCGCGGTCGTTCTTGGGCCAGCCGATCTTCAAAACGATCGATTACTGCTTGAACGTCGTGGAGAAGTCTACGTTATGGAGTTTGTCGGCTCATGAAATCAGTGCTGGTATGTATATTGAATAGTTTAAAACGCGAATAGTTGTTCTATGTAACGTTCTTTTGTATTTTAAGAAAATTTATTTTGGCATTTGTTGAGGTTATATGTTTTAATAAGTTATTCGGTAATATTGTTTGTTATAATATAATATAATATAATAATATTATATATATATATATATTATAGTATAACAAACAATGTTAGCTTAAATGTTTTAATAAGTTATTCAGTAATACTGTTTGTTATGTGTGTGTGTGTGTGTGTGTGTGATATAATATATATAATATTATTATATAATATTATATATATAATATTATATAATGAATAATTCTGTGTTCGAACAGAGGAAGATGGAAAGATCTTCGGAAGAATCGAACTGCTCAGACCTTTGCCTTGGATCCTCTTTCTACCAGGGTTGATCATGCTGCGAATTTTCCGAGACGGCATCAACGTGGGTGCTTATATCCTTGGCTATCCTCGCCTGGAACCGATTAAAATGGTATTAAATTAGTTAATTATTTCTAATATCTCTTTCTTTGTTTTTCTCTTTTTTACATCTCTTAATTGATTTTAGTTTGAAAAGAGTGTCTTGACATTGTTAATTGCTCTCAATCTTTCCACTCTTCTTTAATTTTAGACAGTCATTTTTCTGATAAATATACAGGGCATTCCATGATCATGTCAACGACCGGAAAGGGGAGATTCTTGAGATAATTCGAAGCAACTTTTTCCTTTACAGAAATTTTCTCCGAGGCTTCGTTCACGAGTTATTGACGAAGAACAATTAACCAACGAGAGGCGAGCCCGGCTGGCACGAGGCAGCGCGCCGCGGTGGAGCCAATCAGCGGAACTGGGCTCGTAGACTCGGCCGCACCGCGGCAGCCGAGCTCGCCTCCCATTGGCCACCGTTTTTCGTTAATAATTCGTAAACGAAGCATCAGAGAAAGTTTTTGTAAAGGAAAAAGTTGCTTCGAATGAGCTCAGGAATCACCTCCTTCCTTTATATAATTATAGGACACCCTGTATAAAATCTGTAGTCCAATTATTACACTAACTGCTCTGTATAAGAGCCTGAAATAAAGCTGAAAGTAAAAGCTAAATAAAATAAAATAATAGCGAACAGAAAATTGAAAACTTCTCCCGTCAATTTCTGTACGCCAAAACAAACAAAAATATATTACTTCTCGCAGGTAAAATACGTGCAGAAATGCCGCAGACGGTTAAGAATGCTGCATTTAAAGGCATCGAAATCGTCGCGACGTAGAGTGACCAGTAACAAGGTATTTGAAAATAACTCGTAGCTCCGAGTTCCATGTATTTATCCAATCGTTTTCCATCGTATTTATCTGTTCACGTCTTGCCTCTTCCAAACCTCGTACTTATCGTTTTAAACGAACGTCGCACCTCCTTTGGTAGTTACTTTTTTTAAAGGAATTCTCCGGTAGACTTGACTTAGGGTTCCTCCCTTTTCCGACACAGTCGAGATCCTTAGACGGTTGATCAAACTTAGGGCACTATAAATAGTTTCGGTGATGGATGTAGGACAAGATCCTGATCAGATCCATAAGATTGACACTGTCGACGTTGTTTTGCTTGGGCTCGTCCAAATTGTCACCGTCCCCACCGCCGATTAAAATTTGTGTAACCGGTCTGGACTTCGACACGGTGAGTCTGTAATTTATTGTGCACCTCTATTAACGATTACTTCTTGGTAATTAGAGTGCTTATCTAACTTATTCGTTCGTATTACGTTGTAACTTATTTATTATGTATTTTTTAATTCGTTTAAAACTTATCGAATAGATTTATCGATCCTACATGCTTTTTTTTAACACGTTCGAGGACGATGTATTTATTATATTATATTTATTATATTATATTATATTATTATATTATTATTATATTATATTATATTATATTACTATATTATTATATTATTATAATATTACATTATTATTTATTATATTATATTATTTATTTATTATATTATTGATCATAGTATATTATTTAAAGCATCGATTCCGCGCTCAGAGTTATTTACTAGATAATATCGCATAAATTGAATAAGGAGTCGTTGACAAACGTATTATTGCAGACAGCAACATCGGGCGAAGGGTCGAACACCGAGTCCACCGAAAGCCCTAGCCAGACGGAACGAAAACGCAAATTGTCCCAAGTGAGTTCTGATTCCGAAACTGAATCAATAATGTCGATGATCGACAAATACGCTTTGATGAGCAGCGACGACGATTCCGATTTCACCGTAAGTACAACCACTGGGAGAATGTTTTTCATCGAACACGACGTTGCCGAGCTAACTATAATAGAAAGACCAACGTTTTTTATATTTATATATATATATATATATAAGAGTCTACTTTATAAATATATATATAAAACGCATGTCAAATTGATCCAAGATTGTTATTCATTATTTACCGTTTAATAGCGGGCAGGATACCTTTTCCCTTGCGCTGCCGCTTTGAGCACTGCTTGACGAAGAAAGAGAGAGATTCTTGTTGGATTCAGCTTTTTAGAGTATACAGGATGTTTTCGAAAATTATTGTATAAGCGGCAATAAAGTGTTCCTGAAGTGATTTGAAGTAACTTTTTCCTTTGCGAAAATGTTCTACGAGGCTTCGTTTACGAGTTACCGGCGAAAAACACTGACCAATGAGAGATCGCGCGCGGCTGGCGTCACGCTCTCGCGTGATCACTGTCGCTGCGTCAGATGGCGCGAGGGCGGAGCGCCGGTGCCGCTCGCTCTCCAATTGGTCCGCGTTTTTCGTGAATAACTCGTGAACGGTGCCTCGGAGAAAGTTTTCGTAAAGGAAAAAGTTGCTTGAAATCACCTCAGGAATCCCTCATCATTTGCCGCAAGCACCGTAATTTTTATACTTCGTCCATTATTTCCCCAATAGATAACTCGCTTCGTATCGCGTTTACTATCGTCCCGCGCGTGTTATTCTTACACGACGTAAAAACAAGCCGAAATAAGTCGTCGTATAGAAAATTTTGGAGTTTCTTATTAGCTTCGTAACGTCGCTTCGATCGAAAACTTTCTGCCGGGTGTTGTAGAACGAGGAAACTTGTGGTTGGAAATCAATTTACTAAGGAAAACACCTTACCCACTTTGTCGACCTTTATCAGCCGAATTTTCAGCCGGTCGAGTGCATACCGCAGCCAAGTTCGTCGAGCAGCGACGACGAACGGGAACACGACATATCCGTGTCCGAGGTGGAGGACATTAAGAACGACACTGCGGAGTTCTTGGGCGATAGCAGACTAGCGTGCCACGCGCTTCTTCTCGATAAGGTAAAGGAGATGTTCGTTGCTGTTATCTTTTTACACTTTACATATTTCTTGTTAAAGACGACCACTTCCTATTGATGATAGTTTGTGTTTATTCGGCTTTATGCTTGCGAATTATCTCACCGAGACGAATTAATTGGAAAGGTATTCCGTTGTTCTGATGTTCAGGATACGTAAATTAAAAGTTAGAAGAATTATTAATAAATCGAAGTTATCGTTAAATTCGATGCTATTAATTATGCTACTAATTAACGATGCCGTGCGTTTGAAATACATGTAATACGAGAAATTATAGCGACCATGATGATAATAATAATAATAATGATACTAATAATAATAATAAAGCAAACATGATATAAATAAAAATGGAAATAGAAATATAATATAAAAATAAGACATATATATATAAAGAAGAAAAGAAATATAAATAAAAAGAAAATGAATGCATAGAAAAGCCATAATAATTCCTGGATGATATCCTTGGTGAAACACAACGAAGCAAATTACAAATGATTAAAAAACTCGCGAGTTCTCTGTCTCTAATTAGCCTACAGGCTTCAGCAATTTAATTGATATTTTATAAAAATTTCAAAGTTTCTCTCATCGATATAAATCTTCTCATACAACAAACGTCAAATCTTTCTGAATCAAATTTTCTTAAGCTTCTTCAAAAATTTCCGTGAATTCAGCATGAGAAGCTTCAAATAATTTCCGTGGTATTTCGAGTCGGTAAATAATTTCTGCGGTATCTTAAGTCGGTAAATAATTTCTGCGATAATTTGTTTACATTCTCGATTCGAACAAAAATCGGTAACAAATAAACTTTCGATCTAAAAAGCTGAAAATACCTTACTTCGTGAAGACAAAGTTTTGATCGTACTTGAAAGATAAACGAAGGCACAGTAATTGGGTATTGGCAACAGTAACTGGTTCCACTGGTTCGAAGCCGTGCAAAAAACCAGCAAGATGGGCACGGTGCGAGTCGTTTCATTCGTAACGTTGCACGATTTCAGACATCATCTGACACGGAAACGGAGACCGCTGCGGGAACGATCGAGACGCGCGTCGACAGTTCGGGTGAGTCCGTCTACTGGTCAGCAAGGGAATACGATGATGATGATGATGATGATGATGATGATGAGACGCCATTTAACTCGGCCGCCAGCTGGACAAGTGGCTCGTCGGCGTAAACTGCCGCGAATTGTCACCGTTCTGCTGGTACGCCACTTCTCCAGCTGACGAAGTTCACTTTCGCCCTCGAATTTCCGCACGAAACGGCGGTAAACGGTGAACCGAAATCGCGTGTATTCGCCTAAATGTCTTTCTTTTGTCCCAATGAATGATTATTAACTGTTCGCCCAGTTTACGAGCATCGCTGTATCTTCTAAACGCAAAGAGTACAATTTTATGCCGAAGAAGCGACGCGATAAAGAAAATTTCTCGGTCGATTATTAAGTCTTATAATTCTTTCTCTTTTTGGAATTTTTGCTGTCGCAGAAACGAGTGATGAAAATAAATGTACGAAGCCGCGAGTAGAGCGCAGATCCAAATAGAGTAGCAAGCAGAACGTTCTACTGGCTCGACAGGGCTCGGAACGCCGCGGAACGCGACAATGGGCTCCGCCCCCTGGCTACCGCCGCGGCGTCCCGCTCCCCGCGGCAGGGGGCGGAGCCCAATGTTGCGTTCCGCAGCGTCCTGGCTCGCGAGAACGGAATTTCAATTCGGATTTATTGATTTAACGATTTAACGAAGTCGCGTGAAAATTAGAATCCAAATTATCTAATCCAAATGGTTGTAAATTCGTGAAATCTGCAGCCTGTATCGGCTCGATGCTTATCAACGAACGTTTTAACGTATAATCCTCGCAAGTTTTTCCTTTGACAAGATGACATTGTTCGTCGACAGAACGGCTTTTGTATCGCTCGAGATTGTACAGTCGGTGTTAAGCGCAACAACTCATTCAGTCGTTTTGTCTTCGCTGTGACAGTAACATTGTGCGATGCATTTTTCATACGTCGCGACGGCGATGAAAATTAATCGTGACACTGACGTTCTCGTCTCTTTGTAGAAACCAAAACGCAGATTGAGGTACACGCGTCGGCCGATTTCATCATGCATGAGGCGCAATGTGAAGCTGCCGAGATCGCAGCCACGGTTCCAGGTGTGTATTTTGATTTAATTGGTTAACTTTGTACTATATAATAAATGTAGTGATATAATATAATAATGATAAATATTGTGTTATATTATATTATATTATATTATTATCATATTTATTATGTTATAATAATATAATAATATATTGATTATAGTATATTTATTACATTATAATAATATAATAATATATTTATCATAGTATATTTATTATATTACAATAATATAATAAATAATACGTAATATAATATAATATAATTAGAATTTGCTTTTGATATAATCTCACTAAAAATTATTGAAACGAACATACGCGATTCAGTATAAATCCGATAAGTGCACCCTGACGAAAAGTTCGCCGTACTTAAAGGTTTGCAACTAGCATGGAAAAAAAGCTCCACAAACGTGGAGGGGTGGGTCGGTAATAATGCGAGGGTGTGTATCGACTGTTGGTACGGTAAACATAAAATTTAGAATTTATCGAGGGTAATATAAATAAATTTAACCATCGTAATCTTCATTAAATTTCAAATTATTTTAAACAATTTAAAATTAAACCGTACACCCGGTCTCACGATATCGAACGAAACGAACTCGCAAAGAAGTTCGTCGAAGTAATCGTGTTTAAATATAGAAAAAAAACGCGATCGTAATATTAGATCCAGATCAATTAAGCCGATTTCGAATCGTGACACTGATACGAGTACCACTGATTGTATCGAGCAGAAACGGAAGCAGCGCTGCCACCGCTGCCGACGCTGAGTCTCACCGAAGCCGTGGCCAGCCAGGAACGCAACGACACACTGAGCCAGGAACGCAACGACACGCCGAGCCAGGAACGCAGCGACACGCGGAGCCACCAGCCGAGCTGTTCGAGCACGCTGGACAACGCGTTTTACCCGCGAGGGAAGAAGCACAAACCGGGCAAGAAGCAGTCCGGGCGGCATGCGACGAAGCACGACAAACGGTTCCTCGAGGTGGAGACGACGCACAGCGACGTCGTTCCCTAAGGCTGAAAAACGTGTCCTAAGCTCGCGTGGATCAGAAAACGTTCCCTCGTGCGCGACTCGAGGGTGGAAACTACCTTGTCCCCCCCTCCTGCCTCCCTCGCGCCTCGGATCATGTCCGCACACGCGTCGTCCGTCGAATTTCTTACGAAACGACTTGCTTCCTCTGGAAGCAAGCAAGCACGCGCGCGCGCAAAGAGCCGCGTTATCGGTAAGGTTGCAGTGTTGTAATCGAGCGTTGCGTGATCGAAGACGGCTGCGCCGATACGGCCGCGTCTTATCAGCTATCGCTATCGATCGCGATTTTTGGCGAGCCGGGGCGACTCGATTCTACGTACTACCTTCTTTCCTGTACGATACTCGCTGCTAGACATACAGGGTGTCCCAAAAGTGTCCCGCGATGTTTCAGTTAGATTCCTTGGGTCATTTCGAGCAACTTTTTCCTTTACGAAAATTTGCTCCGCGGCTTCGTTTACGAGTTATCGACGAATAAACGTGGACCAATCGGAGGCGAGCTCGACTGGCGCGTCGCGGCCGAGCCAATGAGGGGAGCTGGGCTCCCCGCGCTCGCCGGCTGGGCCGCCTCGCGCCAGCCGAGCGCGCGCTTTCATTGGTCAGTGTTTTTCGTTGATAACTCGCAAACGAAGCGGCGGAGAACATTTTCGTAAAGGGAAAAGTTGCTTCAAATCGCCTCGGGAGCACATCGTTTCCGGCAGAAGAGACATTTTTGGGATACTCTGTTTAGGGTTTCCCTAGAAAGACACGCACGAGCGGGTACAAGGTGATCGCTCGTGAAAAGCTGCGGAAAGAATGCAAAATAACGTTCCTTTATTCGGCGTCTTAGTTTTTCGAGAGTAATTCGAGTTCGAAAGTCTGCTTTGCACATACGTTTCCGCGGCTAAGATTACGATTCGTCGAGCAATGTACATCGTACGAACGAGAACAAACTATTTTGCATTCTCCCTTGCAGCTCTCTTTCTTCGCGGGGAATCGCCTGGTGCTCGCGACTACGTATATCTCACGCGACACCCTGTATATTCGTTAGCTTGTACTAGTGTAATTACGTTGTCTCCTCAGAATATGAGAAATATTTATTTAGGGACTAGAACCGTTTGTCGAATTCCTGCTCGAAAGGAAAATGTTCGCGCGCACAGAATTTTATTGTCTCAACAAAATATTGTTACGTTATTGGAATATTTTTACGTTGTCCCGTTATTTTCGTTGCACGTTCAAATCTTCTCACGAGTCGTTGCACCGCGAATTTGGTTGGCGAGAGCGTTTGCGCGTGGCATAGTAAGCGAGACATAGTGAGCTAAGCATAGTCAACTAAGCATAATCAACTAAGCTTAGTCAAATAAGCATGGCCAACTAAGCATAGTGAGCTAAGCATAGTGAGCTAAGCATAGTCAACTAAGCATAGTCAACTAATCATAGTCAACTAAGCATAGTCAAATAAGCACAGTTGACTATGCTTGGCTCACTATGCTTAGCTCACTATGCTTAGTTGACTATGCTTAGTTAGCTCACTCAGTCACAACTAAGCATAGTCAACTAATCATAGTCAACTAAGCATAGTCAACTAAGCATAGCCAACTAATCATAGTCAACTAAGCATAGTCACCTAAGCCTAGTCAACTAAGCCTAGTCACCTAAGCCTAATCAACTAAGCATAGTCAACCAAGCATAGTCACTTAAGCATAGTCAGCTAAGCACAGTCCGCGAGATTTTTAAATACCGCCGGAAACAATAACAAATTCCTCCACGTCGTTTCGATAAAGGTATCAACGTCGTCCGATTAGAATAATCGAGCGATTATGATTTCCAAGTAGCGAATTTTGCCGCAACAATATCAACAAGATCGGCAACAACATAACTTATACGAAACACTGTGCGTAGTCTGCAGCACGATCTTGGACTTTTAGAGATAATAAATAATTGCAACTTAAATTAGAAAATCGTCGGGTACCGTGTACTTAATGAATCCAATGTTATCGTTCGATTTTTAAAGCGCTGCTTTTTTGTTTTCGAACACCGTGTGCGTTGCAATCGGAACACGATTATGCAATCGAGCGGCGACGGTTTCCGATTCTTCTCGAACTTTTGTCTGCGGAAAAAGTTCTCTGTCGCGTTTCTCGTTGGTTTAAGACAATTTCGCGTCGCACTCTGTTCGGAGGATATTTCGTGTTATTGTACGCGGATTTATTTGCGGAAATTGTCATCGAGGAACGGAAAGTGATTGAATAAAAATTCACGTTGTACTGGAGAGAGATTTCTTTTTTTGTAAATCCTTCACCGACGCGGTTCCAATCGTCGGAAACGTCCTGCCTATAATTTGTTAATAATACTAATAATACTAATAATAATGGTAGTGGTAGTATTAATATTAATATTAATAATAATAAAAATAATAATAATAATAATAATAATAATAATAATAATAATAATAATAGTTACAATAATATTAATAGTGATACTAATAATAATACCAATTTTTTCTTTTTTTGGGTTTCATAGCGGAGGAAAATCTTTAACAAGATAATAATAATAAAAGTAGTAGTAATAATAATAACAATAATACTTATAATAATAATAATATTAATAATAAAAGTAGTAGCAATAATAATAGTAATAATAATAATAATACTTATGATAATAATAATAATATCAATAATAATAATAATAATAATAATAATGATACGCCGACGTTCTATTCTTGCGAAAAAATATCTCTTATCGTGACTCACGATAACTAGAGATTACTGTCCATATGCCGTACATGTGCCCGATGGACAGATAAGTGCGTTACACTGTCCTAGAAAATTGAAACGTATCGTCGACCGTGTTTGTGGGCCATCAAGAATCTTCTCTTAAAAAAAGAAAATGCAACAAAAAGAACAAAAAAGACAACATGATGACCAAAAATATTGAGAACGAAAAATGGAAAACGCAAAGAAAAATAGAACCTCGGATTATTCGAGAATACATTTCCAGAAATGTTCATTGTAAATATTATCACTTCTGCAACCATCCTCTTCGCTATTTTCAATGCATAAAATAACGTTGTCCTACAAGCTATTGTTCTCTTAGGCGAATAAGAAAGTCTTCAGCGAAGAAACTTTCATTTCGAGACTAAAATTCACTCAATTATTATAATTATATTATTATACTCAAAAGTATTAAATACGTTAAGTAATTAATAAATAAATATGGATACAAAAAAATGGAGACAAAAAGTTCAGAATGTTAACAAAAAACGTGGACCAATCGTAGAGCGAGCGCGGTCGGCGCTCCGCCCAGCGACCAATGCCTCGTCGCGCTAGCCGTATGACTCAGCGGCGGTGGCCGATAGGGCGTGGCGTCGGGCGCGCGTGCGATCTCTCATTGGCCAGCGTTTTTCGTTAATAACTCGTAAACGAAGCCTCGTAGAACATTTTCGCAAAGGAAAAAGTTGCTTCGAATCATCTCAAGAACCCTCCATTTCCAACTATTGACATAATTATGGAACACTCTGTATATTCAGAGCACAGAAAAGGCAAAGTTATCTCAAACAGCGAACATTTCGATCGCATTGTCTCCGACAGAATGAACGCCTCTCTCTAACTCACCTACGAACAAAAGAAACAACAGCGTTCCACAACACGTTCCGTAGATTGTTTCATCAAGAGATGATTTCGCATTCGGAATATATTCACTTTGACCTTCTTCGTGGCAATTTTCATCGGCAGCGCACTCTGACGTCCGCCACGGACGTGACAACGCTCGCAGCACGATTTCACGGCGGATTTAGCAGATGCATCGTGTCACCGTGATCGACGGCCACTTATCGGGATCGTTGCATATATAAATACAGATACGGAAGGAAATGTTTCGCTTTATCAGTGCACTCGTAGCAGGCACTGTTCGGTAGCACTTGTCGGCTAAGCCTGGATACTTCACCTCGAGGGTCTCTTGTCATTAACAAATTGTAAGGTTCTACCGATTGTCGAGTGCAACAATTAGTTGGTTATCTGCTGTCGAACTAATGTCGAACCCTTGACCGCTTAAAGTAGAGCTGCAGGCGCGGCGTTTGTACGGCGCGATCGAACCAAACGGAATTGGAGAACAGAGTTTTCGCGAGAGAGAGGGTTTTTCTCTTTCTTTGGACGTTTTATTTCCTCGCGGTTTTTATTGTTTGCATTGAGAACAGACCGGTGACAGGTCTCTTCTGTTGGACGAGTACGAGGATTATTTACGTAATAAATAATTAATCGTGCCGCGAGGGATTTTAATGATCTCTCGTCGGAATGGATATTATTGATAATGAAGATTTGATTCGCTGGTATCTATCGAGATCTCGAGAAGCGACTGGCCTGTATAGAAACGGTAACACGGATCGGATCGGCCACCATTGACCCAACAGATCGAGAAATCATAACGGCTTTCGAGATAGCACGATTTATTGTTTCTTTGTCCTCGCGTATTTGTATTTACGTTTCTTTGTTCTCGCTGGCTCTTTTCCTCGTAATTTCTGGCCAATGAATTTCTCGCAATGATTTCTTGTAGTAATTTCCTGTTAATACGTATGTGTATGTGTGTAGCGATCACTTTTATAGTACGTACAAGGTGCTTAAAAATGCATAATATACATTAATATATAAAATAATAATAATAATAATAATAATAATAATAATATAATATGATATGATATGATATAATATAATATAATATAATATAATATAATATAATATAATATATATATGCTACCATCATATATTCCGCTATATTATTTATTATACTACTAATACTATATTATTACTACTAAATACTATATTAGTATTATAATATCTATATTTATATATAATAATATATTATTATTAATATTAATATTATACAATAATATATATTATCTTTTCGCGAGCCTAGAAAAGGCTCGGTCTTTCATGCGAAACATCGTCGTCGCGATAGCACGCCTATTGTTCTCGTCGCCGAAACGTATGGTTGTTCCGCGCGCGTCGAACCGAAAGCGGCGAAATCATTTTCTTTTTTTTTATAACACGTACACGTACACACGTGTACACGTACACAACACCGGCGATCGTATCGAATCTTTGAAAAACCGATATCATTTGGGACTCTCTGACGTGTGTTACAGTAGTCAAACTAATCTATATAGGGTGTTATCAAACAGATAACGTTGCCGGAGCTCCTATCTGGTAGCCATATTTTTGATACAATATATAGGTGATCGATATATCCACATATAGTTCTCAGTAAGTGAGAAACCTTTATTACGGTTTGGTCGGCTTTCGAAAAATTCGTACGTTCGCGTCGTTCGTCGCCTGTCGTCGTTCGTCGCCTGTCGTCGCCCTTCGCCGTGCATCACCAACGAAATCTCGCGACTCTTTTCGCCAGCGAAACAGCGATTTTTTTGTGCGAAGGAGCCATCGCATGGCGCCACGAAAGTGCTGTTAACGAAAAACCGAGCCGACGAAATCGTTGAATAAAATCGACGGAAAAACGACTATTCGACGATACGTCGGGACGCTATAATTGCTATAATCGGGACGCCATAATCGTTATAATCGGGACGCCATAATCGCTATAATCGGGACGTTATAATCACTATAACCAGGACGCTATAATCACTATAATCGGGACACTATAATCACTATAATCGGGACACTATAATCGCTATAACCGGGACGCTATAATCGCTATAACCGGGACGCTATAATCGCTATAACCGGGACGCTATAATCGCTATAATTGGGACGCTATAATCACTATAACCGGGACGCCATAATCGCCATAATCGCTATAACTGGGACGCCATAATCGCCATAATCGCTATAATCGGGTCGCCATAATCGCCATAATCGCTATAATCAATTAATAATAATTCGATAATTTCGACGCGCGACGGATCGGCTCGCTCGATTTCTTTCGTTTCGATCGGCCGGAAAATTGATTTTATCCTTTCGAATGAACTCGTCGCCGAAGATCAGCCGCTTTCGGGTTTGATCGAGAACGCGCACGTCGCAGCTGCGCGACAGTGGAGCATTTTTTGAGCCTACTTATATCGAATCGACGGGAATTGTATATATATATATATCTGCTTGCACGAGGAAAAATGGCGAACGGATACGACGACTGCTACGACGCTACCTGGCATCTGTTTCCACCGGACTATGCGGAAGAGGAGTACAGGTAACGATCTTTTTCGGAGATAGAATCAACGTTGTTCACGGCTTCTTTCGCAGAAATCGACGACTCGAAACGGTGCTTGCGTGCTAAATTTCTTATAGAACACTTGGTTATTTATCTATTATTTATTGTAACTTATATTGTATTTGTTTTTCTTCGCTGAACGAAGAAAGATTCGTGGAACCCGTCAAAATGACGGGTCACTAATTGCTTTTAATTTACTTACTTAAGGAGTCACTATTTTACTTTAATTTACTGTTAATTGATTTCATTCAATTTATTTGATTTCTATAAAATTCTCTTGTTCAAAATCGGAATAGATAACTTTCTAGCTATCGAGCAGATCCTTTCGTTCGAAAAAAGCAACATACATGAGCCGGTTACTGTGCTCTATGACCAATAACTGTGCCCTCGGTTCAATTTTCAAGCATAATTCACTTTCTAGTTATCGAGCAGATCCTTTCGTTCGAAAATAAGCAACATACATGAGCCGGTTACTGTGTCCTACGACCAATAACTGTGCCCTCGGCTCAATTTTCAAGCATAATTAACTTTCTAGCTATCGAGCAGATCCTTTCGTTCGAAGATAAGCGACATAAAAGAATGAAAAAACGCGTCAGAACGCGCCGAGGTCGCAGCGATTCGCAATTTTAGCGTCTCCTCGCAAAAAACCAGCGCCCCCACCGCTGCTCCCAGCGTTCACAGAAAAATCTATCGACGTCGGTCGGGGTCCAAAGTGTCCTTAAAGTCCTTCGAAAGTCCTCGGGACGCAAATTTGCCGACACACGGGGGCTCTGTGCTGCGTTCGTTCGGTGCACAGCGAACGAACACGGAGCAGAGTGGGGGAAGATGGCTCCGGAAAAATGGAGTTCCACGTTCATTCATGAACTGGTCACAATGGAGCAACCGGATTCCGGAGTCATGAATGAACGTAGTACTATGTCTCGTAGTAGGTGGCTCGACGGGTGGGCTTCGTGGAAGCTCCTTTCAGAAGGGGGACGGGTTCCCCGTGAAGGGGCCCACCGTCCCTTCGATGCCACCGGGCCAAACGTGACCCGGACTCTGCACGGCTGGTTAAAA